GCATACATTATCTAAATACTGTCATAGACTATGAATGACATTAGTTCATAATAATCATAAAACCATATCACATTCTTTTGATATTGGTCAAAATTAAGTAAAAAAAACTAGCTGATAGAGATTAGTTACAAACTATTCTTTCAATCAAAATAACATTTCAAATGTAAAAACAAAACAAAAAAGAATGTAAATAGAGAAAGAAATCACCTTTTGATAAAACAAATTCCACTCTATAAAGTCAGTCAGTTAATTATTATAAAATGTCTATTTTATCATTAAATGGTAAATGTCTATCAGTCAGTGGATCAGTAGGTTTCATTTTGCATGACCTTTTATGCTTCTAGTGACCCATTTATAATATATATATTTGTATCTGTAAGGGTGTCTTCAATGTCCGCATTCTACTTTTTTGTGTATTGAACTTTTTAATATGGTAATTATAAGATGACAGACAACATAATATTCAAATTTTCACCATATATTAAGATTAGATTAGCTAAATTAGGCCAGAAATGACAATACCTAATCTACGAGTATATAATTATTATTACTAGTGTGCAATTCCTTACTAGTTTACCTCACTGAACAAGCTATTAGCTGTCTAAACTTAGTAGCTATATAGATTACACCATGGCATTTGAAGCAAATAGCATTGAGACCGTGTCCCGGAGTGAACATCCAGCTGATGAGTCCGAGATAGAAAGAAACGTGTGTCTTGCATTCCACTGCTATCCATCATCCATCTCTGTATAAGACCCTTCTTTATATTCGGAAAAGTCCATATGCAGCTCTGTTTAACCACATTTGTTTGAAATAATAGCTTTGTGAAAGGTAGAATTAAAGCATTTATATTATTCCATCATATTTTCTCCAACATGAATCAAGCTCTTTTACACTGGAAACGATGGGGAATCCAGTCAACAATCTTTGTCTTTCGGTATTGAAAATAAATTATCTTCAACTAACCTATGGATAAGAAAAAATCGAACAATTGTGATAATTTTCAATCTTTTTCTCGCTTAACCATTTGATATATCTTCATTGGTACGTTTGTACTTAAACTTTGCTTATTCATAAACATAAACGAAGACTCAGGTACGGTAATCCGATTTAGCAACATGAGACTGATCAATTGCAGTCCTGAATAACGATGGGAAGATACAAGTAAAACAACAAGTGAATTTATAATATAAATTTATCTAAAAGAATAACCTTTGTCAGTGTGTCTATGTTCTAATATAGTGGGAAGTGTTAGGCACATACAGTTTTAATAATAAGAATAACTTGGTAGATGGTCAACAATAATTGACTTGTATTCTATTCTCTCTCTCTTTTTTTACCATTATAACAAACTAGTTATTTCATCACTGTCTATAATACTGAACATGTAAAACACTCTGTCCATCAATTTCTGTCCTTACATGTTATGCATCAACAAATTTTCTCAGTGTTTATTACATCATTAGATTAGGTTACTATTATCAAACTGATGCCAAGTCTATCCAGTCAACCAATGGTGCAGATTCTGTATTATGGATTCTACTGGATTTTCTCTTATCCTCCATTCATTCGTTTTTTTTATTTTTACCCACGCGTATTTGAAAATTAGGTAACAAAGTTAGACTGGCAGCATATATATATATATATAGAAATCATTGATTATCCTAAAACTGTTCACTAGACTCCTTTACCCTTAAAATTTCATCCCCCTAGTACCCTATACATATACATCAACAAGTTTATTCTAACTTGTTTGTTTTTGTGTTACTAAATGAATGATAAGTGAAATTTTCAATGTTTCTTTTAACACAATCAGCCTGTATATTTTTCTTCACTCTTTCTTTTTCGCAAACATTGTTCAAGGTCAAAACCATTAGTCACATGATGCTTACAATGGCAATAAATTGAATACATGTACATGTATGCCATAACAATAAAAAATAAGAAATAAGCGAGTAGCTGATTGTCATAAGAAATAATTGTTAATTAATACTGATTCATATCCTATCATAAATCAGGGTTCCTATCAGCGTACATATATACTAAAGAGGAAGAATGTATTTGTATACATATTTCTTTGAAAAAGTTTGGACCAGATTACCAGGCAAAACGTTGGATTTATTTCAAATTCACTTGCTGAGATTTTACAAATGTATTCTTCCTCCTTAATGTCCCCCACATCAACAAGGCACCCGATTACTGTGAAACTATTCAATCAAATTTAGACGAAAGTTCTTATATATTTACATTTATACTGTCTTGTAAACTTGGTTATCTAATAACTACTTCAGAGGACAATGTATTTTTTCATCAGCTATGCTAAATATTAATTATTCATAACAATTTGTAACTCAATAATTGAGTTCACGAGTCAGTTAAAGCTAGACCACCATGGAAAACCTGGAAGCGTGGACCGGCCTTTTCATCTTAGTATGAGACTCCTCAGTAATTTACTTAACATGACAATATCTTTTTCTTTGATAGTTCGTATTCACTTGTACCGTCATTATTTATCTAAATGAATTGGTTATATTTTCTTAAGTATTTATAATCGTTCAGTATATACGAATACTGACAGAAATTCAACTTAAGATCATATGAATATTATTAAAATGTTTAAAATTTTATAACAGTTATTAAGACAATGAGTTACGTGTATGTTGAAGTCAAATGAATTTGATAGTAATAATGTTGTTCTTTGTCATCATCTTCTTTCGAATCTAAACGAACTTGATAAAGTATGCTATTTTTTGCTAGATTATCAAATATGAAGGGCGGACTGGGTACATTAGTCGGCCGAATGGGAACAAAGCTAAAATTGATCTTTAAATTTTCAAGCTACTTATTATTCTGTCAGTAACACACTGATTACGAACAACCCAGAATTTACCGTGTTACAAAACTAAAGAAACTTGAATATTATATTAGCCTTATACAGATTAAGACTTTTCTAAAGAAATACAGTCAGAGTATTAAAAATACAAAAATACATTCATTCAGGAGTAAATAACTTTACATCTTAAATTTATAAACGACTTTTTATCTTATTCCCAAGATCTATTGAAGTCATCGATTATCCATATTCTCGAATTATCATAACAAATCAAATATATTTCCAAAAGTACATATGCTCTCCTCGCTTAGCATTATATATTTAGAATGAAGACTGGGAGGATGGGTGAAGGATTAGTATTTTCATCATGAATCAACACCGTCTAGAATGCATGATGAATGAGTGAATTTCACTTTCACGGATCACATCTCTTTATCCCTATTAATCAATTTTTTTATGATGAATGCTAGCAGACGTTACGTTCTTGACTTCTAAGCGAAAATGGTTTTTAAAAATAGTCGGATTGACCTTGACTGTCACCAAACAGTGAAGTACTTTTGGCAATGATAGATATTCCCTATTATATTGGGTTTATTTTAAATTCTATCATGATTTATTTCTCTTCGTTACATATCTGAAAGAAAAGTTCATTTTCGCTTAATATAATGAAATTATTATTATTATTATTTGAACACAAAAATATTGATACAAGGGGGCACCAGATACATATGCGCCACACAAATCAAATGAGATTTGTGTGAGTGCTGTGATATTGATCGGTTTCCCAAACCAAAGCAGGTGGTTTTCTTAAGGGGCTACACCCGGAGCCTTCGGCCCGAAGGTCTGATCCACAAGGCAGTGGAGCATCGTAAGGAGATGCAGTCCCATGGTAGCCGGTGACAAACGATTGTTTCGTACGTCATTTGTTCCCTCTGTGTACTGGGATGCATGTGCACCATTGGTTTGGAGTCAAGGTTTTCCAACTCCCCTAGGTGGACTTTCCGTGTCCACCAACCCGGTTAAAGCGCCGGACATTCGCTTTTCATGCTCTCAGTTTCGTAAACAACATTCCTGATAGGAGTAGGACAGTGAGTAGGACTTCCCTGGCAGAGGCTATATACGCGTGACCATGTGAGAGCATTTGGAGAAGGAGAGCGGACTCTCCCTACTCTCGGCTGTACCAGGGCATTTGGGGGCATATATATAATGAAATGTGGTAAAATTAATTAGTAATAAGGACTGAGGCATATTATAATCGGAAGTAAATAGGCCGAGTGTAACGTAAAATCTTGTTTTCTCTTAGCTTAGGTAGATTCTAAATTGTTGTCCAAATATAACACTATGGGTTAAGAAGCAATGTCAGGGTGTCTTTGGTTTATAACTCACAGGGACGATATAATTGAGATCTGAGTTTCTTCAAGGTTGTCAGTACTCTTTGTTAATAATTAGGAAACTTTTCAAAATAACAATACTGAATAGTTGACTGAATTTGTAATATCGGTACAAGTGAATACTTACTACCCTAAAGTTGACCTAAGTTGATTATAATTCTCCATCTTGTATTTATCAAATGTTAGGTTTGTAGTACTTTCGTATTGTCTCGATTATAATTTACTATTGACCAAAAAGAAACTGGTTGGTTTTATTGACATAAAGTATATTTCTGATTAATGAACTTTATAATTCAACGATCCTATCTATATGCATATAAGAATTTGAATTCTTATCAGGTTTTCCACAAGGAATCATATCAACCGAACAACTATCGAAAACTCAGGAGTATTACGTCATCCTAGTATGGGGATCAATAAACCTATCAAGAAATGCATACATGATTTATATATATATATATATATATATATATATATATATATATATATATATATATATATATATATATATATATATATATATCAGTAGTTTGTCTTCATCCCTTAGAAAAGGAAGTCCTTTTTCTTGGCTGATCATGTGAACTTATTACTTGATATCTGATTGACCTCCTGTATCAGGCACGTTATTTTTTCTTGCAGCTCATTTGCTTTTTATATTATAGGAATTTTATTATTCAAATACCAATCAATTAAGTGGTAAAGTTATTGACATTTTCTTGGTATTTTTTTCCTTTCACAACATTAACTGATTTTTCATTTTTATTTGGTTCTTATAGCATCTACAATAATGATGATAATTATTATCTAAGTATATTTCGTTTGCATGGAGTCCTAAATGGCTTGAAATTCAACTATTAATTATTTAATAGCTCTACCCAACTCCACTTTCAACTCCTGTTATTGAAGTTATCTTATCCTTTATTCATCAACCCAGTTATTACTAATCAAATTAATTGAATTCATCTGTTATACAAGAATGCCATAATAATGATGATGACGATGAAATATATTATCTGGAACAGTGTCCTATATTAATCTAATCTCTATATCCAAAACCTAACTCCCCAACCCCACCCCAACCCCATTCTTGATCTTTGGAAAATAATCACTGTTAAATGTATTTGTGTGTATGTGTGTATAATATGTGAGTCTATATTGAGAGAGAGAGAGAGAGAAAGTTTGAAAATGACAAGGGAAGTAACTAATGTTTCAAACCATCCTGAATATATATACATACATATATATTAACTTTCGAATTTCTCTTATTGTTGTTCTTAATTATTTGTTAATTATTGTCAACTTAATTTTATTGCTTTGAGAAATAATATGCACATAGTAATTTTTTTTATAAAAAAAATTGAATAAAACTTCTCAATAAACCTAAAAACAATCAGTATATTTTTGAAAGTAACCATGGAAACAAAACAACTTTCTTTTTCGTCAATTAACCAACTAACTAATTATTATTATTATTATTACCAATCTTGAAGAGATAGTATCCATATATATATATACATATATACATAAGTATGTGTTTCAATGTACATGTATAGAAACAAGAGAATCATTGTATTTCATTAGAAAGAACACAAAATTAATTTTATTGATCAGGTTTGGTTTGGACGTTTCGTTAAGCAATAATATATTGCTTGAAATATTCTTTTCTATTTATGAACAAATAAACAAAAAAGAAGAGATGTTTTCCACTGTTCGAAACTTATTCAACAAATAAGTCTTCTTGAATGATTAACTGTAATAATAATAAACACAGTAGAATCTATCACTGAGCTCAATACAAAATAAAGAATCTATTGAGATTTTTGTTAAATTCTTTCTTATCATTGAGCAGATGTATGCACACACACACACATACTAATTACATCTCACTATAAGCTTTCTTTATGTAAAAAAAAGCCAATAGGTGAGAATATGAAATTTTTATTGGTGATGATGAGAATGACGATGATGAACCACTTCCTCATCATTTGACCACGTTGAGTCTTTTGTATTTGTTGTCTTGCCTTACCAATAATTTTGTATTGATCCCACCCCAATTTTCTGTTTGTGTTTTTGTATCCTCAAAAACTTGCCTTGTCTTTTAAACCTAGAAAAAAAAATATTTATCATATCTTTGTTGCTAAATAAAATGCTTTTACAGTACACATTATTATTATTATCGCCAATGCTACCACCATGTGGAGAATCCAACAACGGAAGATTCTGTTAAATGTTCAAAAGCTTTAGTTAGATATTTTTTTACAAATCACTATAGAAACCGATATTCCTTGCCAACTGTAGAATTTCGTTTCAGAATGAATTGAAAAACAGAATTACTATAATTACTATTATTATCTGTTTTGAAGCAAACGAGAGAAGAAAAAAAGAACAATACAATACAATCTCTTACAATGTTTGTTTAGACTCTGTTTTGTTCTTCTGTTGTCCTTTATTTATATTACATTTTCTTTTGGAGCTTTTTTTGTTTGTATTGTAACCTCAGAGATATCTAACGACTGCTAATGCGACCATTATCTGTTGATGTTTATATCATATCCCAAAAATAAACAATATGGCTATATATATATATGCCTGTTTATCAACGTGTAATTTATAAAATGAGCATTATCAAATGTCTAGATATTATTAGTGTTGTATACATGTGCCTATTTGTATAACTGTCTCTCCCCCCCCCAATTACCCTGGCTCTCTATTAATATGTATAAATACGGAAACTAACGTGGCATTTTTGTGAATTTTAATTAAGTTCATATTACTTATGTCAATTATTTGTCTTCCTACCAATGGACCTCATTGTTATGTTACCAGTAATAAATCAATCTGGGAGGAAATTTGAAAGAAAGAAAAAAACTAATTTGTTCTACACTTACACTAATACACACACACACACACAGATTCATGTATACAATTCAAGATTGAATAAATGGATGAATCAATGAACTCAAATGATGTAATCTCCTCCCATATATATTTCATTTGCATATTTGCTTACAATGTTATTATTTATACTTAAAATTCTTTTCATTTTGAGAAATATTTTCTTGTTACCATTATTTTCTATAATACTCTGTTTTTTATTATAATTATTATTTCAAAGTATATTGTATACGATTAAAATAATGAAACAAAACACAGTCGTCATCATCATCATCACCATAGTGACTAGTAATACAACCCTTGGATAAATTGTTAATCATAATGATGACAGCGGCAATGACATAAACTCAACTCAAATCAATAAATAAACAAATAAGAATATCCCTCCTATTTGTGATTCAATTAGTCATGTGAATTTTGATTGTTCACAATTGTTATTATAACTATTATTATTGTTACCATTAAAATATTATTTCCATTTTAGATTATGATAAAAGAACAATGCTGTTAAATAAAACAAAATGATCATTTGATCTGATTGTCATTAATATTTGTAAGGGTTATCCCTTTTCCATTAGTTTAATATTGAGGATTGATTTCGATTAGTTTCTGTTGTTGATTAATGGGTTGGTTGAGGGGTCATCTAATTATTATTATTATTATTATCATCATCAATTTTATTACTAATAGTTACAAATTTGGTTAGAGTATACAATAGAGATGAGCTTGAAACAACTGCTTATTTATTGAATTATTCTACAGAATAATAACGAGAAATCAACAATATACATATCGATTATCCATATTCTCGAATTATCATAATAAATCAAATAGATTTCCAGAAGTACACATACTCTCCTCACTTAGCATTATATATTTAGAATGAAGACTGGGAGGATGGGTGAACGATTGGTATTTTCATCATGAATCAACATCGTCTAGAATGCATGATGAATGAGTAAATTTCACACAGCTATACAAGATATATAAGCATGGTTTCGGAATGAAGAGTTTATTGTTGTAAATGATGGAATGTCTTGATTCACCTATCATACACAATTTGAAGAGAGATAACTGGTCGTTTGATAAGATTTGACAGTATGAATTTTAGTTTGTTGTATTAGTAAACAACTTTTCTTGATTAATTTGAACATTCTGAGCACTACTACTGATTATATGTGTAACGGTTCCTGTCTAGCCGGAAGGTACCAGCAGTGTACAGAGTGTATGAGATGGGGTTGGAAAGAGAAGAACAAGAGTAAAAATGAGTCGATGAACCATCCAGGGCATGAATGCGCTTACTTTTATTAAAGAAAGCAATAAACGACAGTCATCAATAACACAAGCCTCAGATTAAGACAGCCTTGGAATAGAACTTAGAAACAGATAGCTTAACCCGCTTTAACATGTAATATTTGAATTTTGCACAAAAATTCATAATTTACTTTCTGATCGCTTCATCTTTATATTAAACTTCTGTCCAAAGTTTTATTGGGTTATCAAAAGAGTTGCTGGTGGTAGAATTTGTAATGCCTTTTTATCTGTTTAGGGGTGTATGGATTGGTTGTACCTGTGTTGTAAAATTTGACTGAATCAGGACAATTATCCGGTACATTTTAGGTTAACCATAAACGTGATGTCTATGGAATTACCATTCGATGATAACATAAAATTACTGATGTTTTTTTTAAACTAAGTCCCAGTAATTGGTTAAACTTTACAGGATAAAGAATTTGTGATTATAGTTGGGCTAAATTTTGCGCGATCACAGTTTATGTATTTTTGGTTCTGGATTTTTATAAGCATAATAGTAACAGCTCTTAAGGATTTAAACTCGAATTTCAACGACCGATCTACCAATGAATTGCAATCAGTATAACGTTTGTTTAGTCCCCTTTGTGCTGATCGAATTCTGTTATGTTTTTTGTCCGGACAATGTGTCACGTGACTAAATCGCCAATTAGATGACCGACTTATATGACCTTGGCCCTGTGCCAAACCAATCACGTGTTAACAAGCACGAGCAGCCTAGAGTCAACTCTGAGTTCTTATTGGTTCTTCTTGCCTTGCCCTACCAGTTGAGTCCAGAACGCAATTTCAGCTTCCACTGTATGTATCACGTAGTTCAAGCATACGCAGTTTATATACAAACAAATCACACCGAATCATACCATGAAATAGAAAATAACAGTTATACAGGATCAGGGCAAAAGTGGCCGTGAGTGTGAGGAACTGTAACTAATATATCAGGAATAAGTTAAGAGTGGGAAATTGTATCGCAATAGCCTATATGTCAAATGAAAAGAATACGAATGTATAGACAGTCTAGTTACTTAGTAATTCTACAATAAGAATATATGTAATAATAGTCCATAAATAATTCCTAGCAGTTACCATTCATTTTTTCTTCCTTAGGATGTAACGAATTCCATAGATCAATTTGAATTATGTAGCGATTAATCTGAGTGACCTGGTATCACGTGTCCCATGTTTTAATATTAGATGGTCGAAGATAGTCGGCAGAAAACTCCATACAACTTAACTTTCATGTTCCATCCGAGATTTGAACCTATACCATATGGTTTCAAGTTCTGATACACGACCACTGAGGTACTAAGGCTACGACTGACCACCTGTAGGATTTAAACATCTACTGGACAAGACAAATGTAACATTGGTCACTACTCAGTAATTAATAAATTGTCAATACCCCAGTTCAACTGGAGTTCAGTTAAGGCTCGAATAACTCAGTAGTGATGTTAGTGACCGTGATACTGGGCTATCCGAGCTCACTAGGAATACTAGTTCTCACGCAGATATACGTTTATGTCATTTGTCAACTAATATAAGACCTAATTTCATGGTTAACTGCCAGCTTCCTCCAACTACCTGATATACGGATTTGTGACTTAGGATTAATCTCTGCAAGCCTAATAGTACATATATACATAATGTCCTTCAAG